GACTCAGACTTTTCATCCAAGTATTAAAATTCTGGTTAAAGTTACAATTATGTCACTTTGTCCAAATAATGTAATGTAATGTAAATGCTGTAATTCCTAAATGGTTAATGGCACATTAAAACCTATTAAAATAAAGCTGAAAGTCCACATATTGATTGTTTTATTTCAAATCCATTGTGGTGGTGTATAAAGGCAAAATCACAAAAACTCCGCCACTGTCCAAATACTTCCGGACCTGACCGTATAAGAGACCTTTTCCCTTGCTTATCATACTAGTGCATTTGGTAACTTTACCGAACTATTCTTTTGTACTGTATTGTATTTGTACTTCATTTTAGGAAGTTGTATATAAAACATATTGTGTAAAGGGAATCACAAGCATCTAGAAAATGCCAGTGTGTGTATTCATGTACAATAAATATGTTCTGTAAAGCAGATCACTCACCTGCTGTATCACAGTTATGCAGCAGTTATGGTTGAGAGTGGTGATATTTTGCAGGGCTTGATTATATGCTTGGAATTGTTTTGTTTCACGAAGCTTTTATCGGACACTTTCAGTCGCAGTAGGAATTTTCTTGTCACGCTTTTTCTGTGAATTGGCATCTTTTGCTTCGTTGTTTCCCTCCCTCTGAAGTGCTTGTTTGTTTCCACTGTAGAGATTTTTCTGAAAGGGTTGTGTGTCAGGACCTGTCACTGTCCTCCTCCCAAGTCTGATCACTTCACTCAACCTCCGTGTTTCTTTTCACTACCATCCTCGCCCACTAGCTCTCTATACTTTTTCTTTTTTTCTATCAGGTGGAAAAAAGCTTTGCAGAGGCCGCATTTATGAGTCGCACATCCCCATGTCCTGCAGTTCTTGGCACAGAGGTGTCTTTTTGTGTGTGAAAAGTTTTCCGACGCTTCACTGTGACCACACATCATAAACTCATTTCCTACCATTTTTTTTCTTTTTATGCAGCGAGCTTGTCAGAAAAACAAGTCAAATTAGTTTGTGATTGGATTGTATGGTTGTTTTCTGCTCTCTGTCACACACACACACACACACACAGGCAGTCACAGTGGTGTGTTTGGAGATGGATGAGCCTGTCTGGTTTAATGGAACTGCATTGACCGGTCAGCAGACCTTTTAAATGTAGCTCAGCTCATGTGGAGCCGAGCCCTCCACAGACAAGGAACATGAGTGAGTATCCCAGCATGCAACAGAACAGCGGTGCTTTTAACCCCTGCAGTAAACAAACCTTCTCACTGCTGGACTTTCCAATAGAACAGAAGAGAAGACCAGCAAAGGGACATCACCTCTCTGGTAACTTTTAAATAACACCTGAGACTGTTACCCAGTTGTCCTTAGATTGGAATGAAAAAAAAAGCGATGAATGCACCTGCCTCGAGCAGAGCAGAGTTATGGATTTCTTTATTGTCGCTATTATTTCTGCTACTCTCGACTGCAACACAGAGGAGGCTGCCAGATCGATATGGGCCAAGTTAAGCCTTTGTGCTGCCTTTATAACCATCACCACATTGCCATACACACATCTAGTGACCAGAAGAATATCAATTCCTCTCCTCTCGCATCAATGCCCATGGCTGCTTCTAGTTCTGTCTGGATCTTATGAACACTACCTTCACCCGCTGTGGACACTTGGCCTGTGGACTCTTTGCTTTGGCTGTAACTCTATTAAAAAGAACATTGTTGTGGGGAATTAGCATCAGGTGTTTGAGTTCAAATCGATGTCTCTTCACCTGCACTAGCTTAATGAGTTGTCGGCTAACATTTCAGTAAGAGCTCAAACAAATTTCCATACGTAACGTATTTTATTTTCATAATACAAGAAAGTTATCAGTTATGGATGACATATGGATATTCATTTTTTACAAATAGTATGACTTTTGCAGCGAATAAGACAGTAATAATATGAAAGACTTGAATGAACACAAAAAGTACAGGATTTGTTTAGAACTGCAACTAACAACTATTTTTGGTAAATCAGTTAACCTATTGATTATTTTTCTGATTAATCCATTAGTTGGATTGTTTTAAACATATACTAAGTAGCAAAAACGAATTCGTTTCCAGCATTTCAGTCAAGTAATCCTACTACAGTGCTATTTACTAAAGCTTGATTAAATAAGGTCACTAACTGCAATATTACAATATTCCTGACATCAGATAAACTGTCAAGTGCTCATGTCGAACACTCAAGAACTTCAAGCAATTATGCCAAAACATGCAAACTAACATAATATCTCGGTACTTTTTTAATGGTTCCACACTTATTTTTTAACAACTGTCCTCTTCTCAGATGTATAATGGACAGGAAGCACTGCGCTACCTGGTTCTGCTAGTACCCGTGCTCATTTTTAGGCTTGAAGATCATTGAATAAACCCTTTCTATACAGCTTACAAAAAGAGCAACTGCTTTACAATATTCTTAAACCACTGTTGTAATATTGTCCTCTGAAATGTTTGCATCACAGATGGCTGTAATGGATAATATGCGTTGGCACTTATATCAGGAATACTGTGTGTCAGTTACAGCATGTAGGAATATTACACAGTTTGTCCATTTGTTGAAGTGCCCGCATTTCTTCAGTGAGCTCTCCAACCTCTCTTTGATCTGTGTTCAGAGTTGGCAAGTTAAGATCTAAAGTTGAATGAATGAGTGAAGGAATGAATGAATAGGGAGACTGAAGAACCTCAGTAAAACATCCTAGCACTGTCTCTAACCTTTACTTTGATTTGGAACTTTGACTCATGCAGATTCTTGCTTGCTTCCAGGATCAGTTCATTTCCTTTACAAGTTATATTCATCTAGATAAACTTTAACCTGGAATAATGAGCCAACAGAGAACAAAGTAGCCGTAATCTTTTTGTTGTGGAAGATGGAGGAAAACGTATGAATGTTTACATGGGGAAAGTTTCTGGTATTTAGACTCGTGTTATGCAGCTGGCCTCCCTGTTCAGATTAGTACTGTTTCCTACGTGTAGTTCACTTCCTGCCTCTGGTTGCTAGATTTTTTTTTGTTTGTTTGTTTTTTTTTAGTAGAAGCGGTCAAGATGGGGGTTTTCAGTACACTGTAATAAATTGCTGTAAATTGTACAGTACTTTACTGGTAATTTTGGTAAAATATATTTACAGTACAGTAAAATACTGTAATAGTTTAATGTTGTATAAAATGACACATAACCCAGCACACTTGCTCTTTTGGCTGATGCAGGATACAGGTTAGTTGAAGGTTACGGGTCTTGCCCCACCATGACAGCACAGGGATTTGAACACACAACTTTCTGAGCTGTGATTCAAGCCTTAACCACTGAGCCACAACAACTACACCACAACCCCACCACAACTAGCTTGCATTGATTCAACTACTTCTAGCACTGAATTAATGCCACTAAAAGATTGCAATGAATCAGTGCAAGCTAGTTGTGCTAGCTGTGGTAGCTCAGTGGTTACAGCTTTGTGTTGCAGATAAAAAGGTCATGTGTTCAAATCCCAGCACCACTGACTCCTGAATTGAATCAGAATCCTTAACTGAATTTACTGGCAGCCCAGGTTATAAAGTTAAGCAGTGCCTCTGATTAAGACGCTGTCTCCTTCGATGTCTAACTTTCCGTGGAATTTAAAGTGGCAACATTATTAATTAATTAATTCTGTCATATTTCTGCATTTAATATTGGCCTTAAGTGGCTTGCTTACCTCAGCTCTGAACAACACTCAGTGTTTTTATCTCACGTTCCCTGACTTGTTTAAGTTCACACTTGTTTAGCAATCTAACCCTAATTTATCCCAGAGAAAGGATCCAATCTCTATCTTTTCCATCAACACAAAGAGATAATCCACATTATCTCTGGCTTTTAACACAGAGAGAGAGAATAAGTGAATAAATATAGTCACAGCTGAACAGAACTTTGGTTATGGTGGCAATTTAGAGCTTTAAGAGTGCTGTGAACCCTTGTTGACCCGCATGAGTCCAATTAAAAGTCGTCATTACCAGTGTGAGAGGGCTGTGTCCTGAGTGTTCTGGGAAAAAAGTCACATTTTTCTGTGATAAAAACAAGCCTATGTGCAGTTTTTTTTTTTCTGCTTTAGCCTTGGAGCATTTACGCACGTGTGATAACAAATGAGCTTGTGAATGTTATCATATTCACGTTGTGTTAAGTAACAATGTTGATTTCCATTGAGGTTTCTTGCACTCTCAGTCTTTTTAATTAGCTGGTGATGTCTTGAGGGCGATATGTGCCGGGTGTACGTGCATGTGTGTGTGTGTGGTGTTTTTGAAAGCGCAGCATTTGATGTTATCTGTTTTTCTAGTTTGATTAAAAGTTAATGATGTCTGCATTTTGTACAATTTCACCATGCAGTTGAGCAGAATCTGATAGGTTGTGTGCCAAATGAAAAAGACAGCAGCGTAGTTAACCTCGTCTCGTCATTATCTCCACACTCAAAGAAGAAAATTACTGGCTTGAGCTCTAAGCATGCTCCCACTTTTCTAATGTTTCCATCAGTCCTAGCATTGTATTTGGCTACAAGCCGTGCCTGATACACCCACTACATGTTGAAGAATCGTTACACTGATAAAACCAAACTGCTCTCTGAGTCATCAGACATTTCTCTTGTTCCGTGTCTGCGGTCCCTTTAGATTTCCAGCGCTGGCACAAGAAGCTCATTTTCTTCGCCACTTTAAAGAAGGAGTGTATTAAATGGGGATCGAGTCTGAGCATTGATCTCGCTCCAGAGGCAGATTTATGAGTGGTTCAAGGGACTGTGTGTCTTCTCCAGTGGAAAGGCTGGTTGAGTAAATTGGAGCCAGCGAGGAGCGTGGATGAGGAGGAGGACGAGGAGGAGGACAAGGACGACAAGGAGGGAGCAGTGGGGTTTCTTTTATTTACACTCTGGCCACTGGCGTAACTCTAGCATACACAGCACATTAGGAGCACTGGAGCTTCGTCCGGTACTTTAGGTAGCCATGCTTGGTGTTTCATTTCACACAACATAGCTGCACACTCCAAGTCAGAATTCACTTTCTAACTGTGTGTGTGTGTTCAGGCTTAAGCACATGGTGTTTACTGATTACACCATGCAGAGGCCAAAATCACTGTGGTAAAAGTGTGAAAAGAAGTTCTTTCATTCCTTTATGATTAAAAGTATTGGTGTGTGTGTGTGTGTGTGTTTGTGTGTGTGTGTGTGTGTGTGTGTGTGTGTGTGTGTGTACACAGTGGGGTCCGAAAGTCTGAGAGCACTACTGAAATTGCTTCTATTTTGCATTCTTTTCTAATTTAATACAACAATTTAATTTATAATGATATTATTGACAACAACTTGAGTTTCTTAGTATTTGATTTTTGCCCCTTTTTTGCTTTAATGACAGTGTGCACTCGAGCTGGCATGGACTCCACAAGTTTGTGTAAAACCTTATGATCCATTTTAGATCAGATCCATCAGAGTGTCGTCTGATCGCACGCTTCAGAAGAGACTTCAATAGAAGAGATTAGATATGAGGAAAATCTTACCTTTTGTACACAGCAGTTAACCTGGTCAATATCAAACATTTGCTTATATTTAAACAGGGACCTAGAAATAATGCAGAATCTTGAATATTAAATATTCAAGATATTGAACATTTATTTCCTTTGTTTTAAATATTTCAGCATTCTAAAGCCTTCTGTTTATTTCCAATATTAAAAGAAAAAAATACCAGACCCCATTGTGTGTGTGTGTGTGTGTGTGTGTGTGTGTGTGTGGTGTGTCTCATTACATGCACTGTTTATGTTGACTCCATAAATGAAGTCCCTGATTACAGCAGCTCCACAACCCATAAAACTTCCACAAGCTCCTCATTTTTTTCTTTACAGTCTCCGTACAAGTGGGTGAAGAACTAATAATAGTTAAAAGTGATTGCAGTTTCCTTTTGGCTAATAGAGCGGTACATTTCACTGCATTCCTCACTGATTAATCAGTCCACTTAGAACTAAACATTCTCTTAAAACAGCTAAGATTAAAACCAAACCTTTTACTTCTGCATATCGACACTCCCTCATTAAAACACGATTGCTTGCACGGCGAGTAAATGTGGCTTCTCGGATTCAGATCGTAGGAATGAGCTCTAATGAAGCTTTCATTACGGGAACTCTCAGTCCCTTTTAGTCCCAGTGCAACATTAATGATATAGAAGTCTGGAAATTTGGAAATTCAGAAGAGCCGCAGATGAAATGACCCACCCCACTGGGGGGAGAGACGGCAGCACACAGCCTGCCTCTGAGCCATCAAACTAAAAAAAAAAAAAAAATAGCGCTGCAGCTTTTTATCATGGTCTGTCATGGAGTTGCCTTTGGCATGCTGAACCTTTCCCCCTTTTTTTCTCCATAGTTTATTTGCCACTTCCTTCGTCACTGCTAGACCTGCTAAACATCAACAGCCATGATTTATGAGTTCATTTGAACAACCACTCAGAGGACGGAGAGAAGGAGTGAGGGAGAAATCAAGAGTGTAATAGACAGAGAGAAATAGAGTGCTGAGGAGGCAGATAGAGAGACAGTGGAAGACAAAGAGGCATGGAAAGTGGGAAGAGACACAGACTTTTTCACACTCACCACTTTGCACACACTCTTAACAGCATTCTTAAGTCCACAAGCGCATTTTGTAGCTATAAATACTCGGAAGAGATTATTCACACCAAAAGACTTGTGAAGCATTTTTCAGTCTCACACACATCTTAAGGAAAAGATACACATCCATTATCACCCATCTTTTTCATCCAAACCCCATCTACTCCGTTTTTTAATCCACTTTGTCTTTTGCACTTCTGTACAAGTGAAGTATAAACCACTGTGAACTTTATTTAAAATCATAATGTACAACAGTGTTCTGATTGTGAGGCCTGTAGCCACAGAACTAGTGTGATTTCACATGTGCAGTGTTTAGTCCGTTTGAGCAGAACCCTGTTGTGTTCTCCACTTCGGTGCAGTTCTTTAGGCAGGTGAGAACACAGCAATCACACTCAGGATTGGTCTCGGTCCACTTCCAAGTCGACTCTAACGGGACAGGCTCCACTCACACCTGACACTAACATGCGTCCTGGGTGACCGGATCCCAAGTGGACAGCCGAGATGCGTCTATCAATGTGGGATTATAAATTTGTCTTCACTGACTACTTGAGATAAGATTTCATGCATCGTTTCAGCTTCAGGAAGGCTGTAACGCACATTTATTACATCAAACGTCTGCAGCTTATATTTTCAGGCAGAAATGTCTCGCAGATCCTGTCTCCTGTACCTGCATGGACTGTTTCAAACCTTTTAGTCATGTGGTCTGCTAATGAAACATATAAATGAATGAGAGATGAGACAACAAATGAAGCTATAAAAAGTAGTTGCTTTCATGTCTGATGTTACAGCATCGCCTTTATCAATTATGCTAGCGGCAGAGAGCGCTACCGTTCAGCACAATTACCAAACAGTCTCGCGACGATTACATATTTTCCAGCTAGTGCAATGATTCAGTCAATTAGAAGAACCCTTTATTTTTCTCATGTACATTACAGCACAGTGAAATTGTTTTTTTTTTCGCATATACCGGCTTGTTATGAAGTTGTAATCAGAGTGCAGGGTCAGCCATGGTCACTACAAGTCACTATAGTAACACCACTATATCCAGCAGTTTATTATTACTTGCTGAGTGATTACCCATAATTCATTAGTAGTGACTTAGGTGTTACTATAGTACTCCTCATTAATTCCTGCTTAGTTCCTGCAAAGTTATCTTTCAGTTACTGAGCAGTATTATAAAGTTTTACCACTTTAGGTTAGTGTGTAATTTATTTATTTCTTTTCATTTGTTTTCTAGCATTATAAAGAGATGATAGATGGGTATATTCCCATGTCAGAACTATGCAGAAATTCAGAAGTAGCCAGTTTGGCCCTTAGCAAAAAAGTACAAAGTGGCTTTTGTTACTTCAGCATGAAACCAAAGGGAGACAACATCAGTGAAAAATATTTTAATCTTACAATAATCATAAAGTCATATATTCTTTTCCCATCACCAGAGTTCATGTACTCTTACATCACAGAGAATCTACTCTTATTATTTCTAAAACCTTTTCTGATATACATGTACAGCTTTATTGATAAATGGTAAAAGAAAATGATTGCAGTGTTAAAATGCTAGTAATAAAGTAAGTGAAAAATGCTCAAAAATAGGTTATGGTTATAAACGGTTAATAAAAACTGTTGCTCTGCTCCCACAGGTATTGATTATAGAACAAAACTGAGTCACAAGCAGGAGCTCGCTTTTACAGGAGCTTACTTGTGCTACTTTTATGCTACACACATATTGCTGCTTATACTGTAAAAAAACAAAAAACAAAATCAAATTTCCTAAAACCTCCAAACAGCTCTCTTTAACAACTCTGCAGCACTTACTCTAACAACAGCACTGACTTTTTTTTCCACTTGATGTCTTTTTCCTGTGCACTGAGTGCTCAGTGCAAGTCATACACAGACTGATAG